ATATTCAGCGTTACTTTTTTCAGTTGTTAAGCATCTAACACACACTTTATCCTTTTTAAACACATATTAAACATTTTTTCTAAAGAATCAAAAAAAATATATGGATTTCTGAGGGATAATGTGCTTTTTTGTTTTATACATATCACATGCATAACGATTATGTGGCCCCAGCTTTGCCGTGTGCAAAATGCGCAGCGCTTTTAAGTTTGGGAACCACATAATCGGATAGCTTCGTTCATAGCCGTCTGGTCCATTGAATTTATCGAAAGATTTTGTCGTTGGAAAAAAACGGCGATAATATTGATGTTTATTTCGGCTGTTGCGTTGTTTATATTACCGTTGAAGTTAAAAATTGACCATCATCGTGAAGAGTTATATCTTCTGTGTCGATGGACCAAAGGATTATGTGAAAATATTGGAAATGGATTAAAATACATGGTGATTATGACGGTAGGGGTGCGGATTTTTTCCGGCGAACATTTTTATCTTGTGTATTATTATAGATGTTGAAATATGAATTTTTTTCAAAACGGCTTATATTAAGTTTTTTTGATATATATGATCAGTACATGTGCTGGGATTGACAAATATGCATTTTATTTGGATTTTAAAGGCGTTTTGAGCTCCAAACCCCAAATGTCTGTGCTCTAACCTGACCCACGCCGGTCAAGTTAGGAAACCACCATTTTATTCTTTATAAGGCGAAAAGTTTTGCTCAATTGACTGTCTAATATATTCATTTTGAGAGCATTTATAGAATAATGAATGAAAAATTCAAAACTAAAAAATGAAAATTTTGCCTGTGTCTCCCTTTAAAGCAGTGCAAAGTCAAGACAAACATCAGTAAACATCAACATGAATTATTTCGTATCCTACGTAGTCGGTTTCAACTCTTTGTTCTTATCTTGTTTCATTGTTTTGTTAGAATACTGATAGTGACGTTTTCTATGAAAGTTAATAAAGATATCATAAAAACTAAACAATTAGATTTTTGAAGACACAGACATTGTCAACAATATCATTTTTGTCCATGATAGGAGTAAAGTATTTCATACAAGATTATGTAAATATTGATAAAATATAATAATCGCCGGAAAAAAAACAAATACAATTTGCTTAGAAAAAGTATATTTAATACTACGACTTCTTACAAAACGTTACATAGACTAAAACTTCGGAAACTTTCGCTAGTGGTTTATGTACGAGGGTTATATTTTGATAAGTGGCAACAGCAGTGCGTTTATAAGTCATATCTGTGACAAATGATTAGTAGAATCCTTCAAAAATTTACCATGGACCAATATACACTTTTCCAGCCTCAGAATCCATTCCAAAAAAAGCATTTTGAACTGTTCTTCCTACGGAACGATGGGGTTCGGACCGGTGATCGCAAAGGCAAGATTTAATGCATGAATGTAACCAAAAGTCACGATGAGAGGGGTCAGGAATATAAGCAGAATCTAGCAAACGTCTAAGTCACGTTTTATCCCTCGTGTCAATATCGCTCAGACGTCTAGTGTATCCTGAACCTAGTCAATAAAGCCGAGGCTTTTTCATCCCGCTTTCTTTTTTGGTCAAAAGTTAGCAAATTCGGGATCCAACGGCGCACACTTTCGTTAACTTTAATTTTTCTTTTAAGATGGAAAACACAATGAGGCACTACGGCCGGATATGTCATTTTTGTCCTCCACGGTATACATGCATCTTCATCATCTATTGCTTTGACAGTGCTGATTTCTTTTTCAGAGGAAGCAGAAATTGGCCGCCCATGGCGGGGATCATCCTTATTATTAGTTCTATCTTCCTTAAACATTGACACCCACCTGAAAATTGTGAATGGGCATTTTCTCCACAAAATAAATCTATTTCTGACTCGCATTTACCCAATAACCCACGCATTTTGCAATAATCTGTTTCAAATCTCATTGCAAATCTGCCATGATAGACTGTTGTAATCACTCCAATGGTATATTACGCATGTACTTTCACACAAATTATGTTTAAATTGAGTTGTTTCCACTCCGCGTAAACACAATCAGTATTTTCACATCGATGTGTAAGTATGTGTCTGAAAATGTAAAACTATTGGCTTCTGTTTTATTGACCACAAATGAAAGTAACATTTTTATAAGTTCACATAAAAAGTAAGATTAGGTTTGTTCCTGTAAAAGATGGAATGTTTCGAACGGATTATCATAATAAAATATGTTTTATTGCATGTTTTAATCAGTACAAAACTTAATTACAATTATAATTGAATTCATACGTTTAAATTTACGATTGTCATTCAATAAATTGCACCTTGGACAAAAGTAACCCAGATTGCACTTTACCTAGTAAATGTGTAAAATTTACGTGTATACTGCAAAACTATTGTGATAATTAACGTGAAATTTCGAGCAATGATGAGAAACCTTTAAGAATGTATATTAGGTTTTAAATGTTACACACTTACATATCTTAACATATTTTATAAATTGTTGTGAAAAAATATGACAAAGTATTTGGTCAAAAATGCACGTGACATCTTGTTTGATATTTCCCGATTAGTCTGATCATATTCAATGATATCTGTTTATTAAAATATACAGGGTTTCCTCCTGAATTTTTTTTATATTGATTAGATCATTAAGATAACCTGTCATCTCGTAAATTTATAAAATGACACATAATAATCGTTACAACTGAACATTAGACTACCCTTATTTAGTTGCAAATTTAGAATGCAAATTTATAAATTCAATAAACGTGTGCGTTTCACCGTGTAATGAAACATGTTAATTCTAGGTATAAGAAGTTGACGCTTTTTTACTACTCAAAACTAGCCTTAAAAGTCCCATACAAATCAACAGTATAATATAACACACTTAGTATTAAAATGTCAACTTTATTCTTGCACACTGGTTACTGCTTAAAATGATAAAAAAACTGAATATTACAACTAGATCATACAATATCAAAAATTTAGCTGTTGTTAAATAACAGTTTATAAATACATGTAATAAAGTATGCCCTTCTGGAAAACATGTTTTAAATGGTTTAATAATATAACTGAAGATAATTTGTAATATGAAACAAACTTTTGCGTCACAAATTATGTCCTTGAAATTTTTTATGATTTTTTCTTGGGAAAATGTGCTAGAAAAAAGTCCCACCGCCAATCACTTAAAGAATTGATAATATGCCAAGCTGATGAGTATAAAGTATGTCTTAGAACAATAAAGGCATTAAACATCTTGAAAAAAAATACACCTTTTATTTTTTGTTATTACAAGATTTAATGACAATGCCAGAAAATAATGATCAATTTAGGAGTAATTTTGCAGACAAGCTTCTTTGAAATATTGTAGTTGACCTATTTAAACAGTATTGGAGCATTTATATTCAGTTCAATACCCTATTTATAACGCCTTCTTTGCTAACAGCTTCCTCTTGTAAATTTATATTGTCTCGTCAGTGTACAGTTGAAAGAACATGTCTTATATAAAAAAGACTATCTATCATAATTATGTGCGCGTTTCTTCTGAAAATTTGTGATAATAGGGTTAACTGACACAATTTTTCTCCGCTATAAAAGACTTAATCACAAAATTGCATTATTCAAACGACCATTGTGTCCCTGCGACGGTAAGGTAAGCCAACATCTGAAGATTTTTTACAGACCGATAAAAATGACAGATATATGGACCTTTTCACATGAAACGATTTGTATTGTTATGCTGTTTTCATCAAATAAAAGGAATAAAAGAACAAAATAAAACATATATTAATCATTCAACATTTACTGTTGTTTTTAAAACTAAATATAATCCCTTATACTGGAAAACAAACACCCGGAATGCCACGTCGAGGTCTATATTGATGTTTTTATTATAGGAAAATGGCCAATGAAACAAAGTTATTTCTTGCTTATCTACGGTGTTCCGTTTGGACAATAGGGATTTTTTAGCTGAAGTTATTTCATACATACAAGCAAAACGTAATGAATATTTTATTAGTAAAATGGGAGGGATATGCGATATAAAGGGAAAAGAATTAACGGATAATCTTTGTTTAATGCATACTTTATAGTAATGGCACTTACCTCAGAAATAGGACACACATATTCTTTATTTTTGAAGAGTTTTCGATATAATTCGACATCTTTTCGACAATATTCGACATAATATTCTATTCTTTCAAATTTCCATTCTATACTTTGTCGTATTCAACTATATTTTCCCTTTTTTAATTGTCGTCTTCTATCTAATGTTTTCGACGTAATGTCGTGCACCGGACATATACAAGTATGTTAGATATACAATCGCTTTTCGCATGGAACCATTTACATATACTAATAGGTTTATTTTGATCAAAAAAAGAAGAATAATAGTAAAATAAATTGTAAACATTGATTTTGTTAAGTAAATACAATAATTATATTATTATTTATTGATTGATTATAATGTATTTTGCATGGTGTCCAGTCTATTATTTATTTGAAATTCCTTTGTTTGTTGTTTGTTTGTTTTCGTTTTGTTATACCGATTGCTTTTAAAAGAAGCAATGAAACCCCTGATTCTACTGAGAGAGTTTTATGTCCTTTCTTGAAGGACCTGATTAATGAATATTTAAGATGCAACTGCAAGTAAATGTCACCTATATATAAAGGTCATTCTATGAGTTTTCATAAAAGGTTGAGCTGTAGATAAAGCATATTTCATAAGTCACATTTTGTTGATCTTGAGGATGGTTTTTATTCTTAAGTTTGACTTATATAACGAACAAAACATAAAATTGCAAACAGTCAAAAAGACTTTGAATAATTGGAAACAAACGATCATCAAAAATTTATCGAAGCATCTAGAAAATTCAGTTCGTATATTTTATAGCTATATCAACAGCAGTGGGTTTTATATATATATACATGAATTAGATTTTATTGACCAACAAACATACAAAAATAATTCTAAAATATGTCGCATATATCTGTCATGTTTTGTAGTGGTGTTTTTCCTGTATCACAGTTCTGTAACAAAACTACTTCTTCTAGACTGTCTTAATGCTGATCTCATTGAAATGAAATAAAAGTTTCCCTCTGAAGGAGATCGCGTGTCTTGCGTATCATTTTCCCGCCATTTTCTCAAATACTGATCAATCATTAACGCCAACTTTGATTTGAATCGCTTATTTACAAAAGCGTAAAGAACAGGGTTCAATATGGTTGACACTTTTGCTAAAATAACTGGTATTGTTACTATTATTGGCGATATCCAACTATTGTTTCCAAACAATGCTATCAATGATAATATACTGTATGGCATCCAAGAAAAACAAAACACTAGAATAAGAATCATTCCCGATTTTGCTGTTTTTAGTTCATTTCTTTCACGTTTTCTGCTCCTCCTCGTTCTTCGAAATGATTCCTCGTTGATACCTGTCCTCACAGAAAAATACATCCTCTCATGTTTTTTAACAGTCAAGAATATTAACAAGTAGCATATTGTGATACAAAGTAACGGTATTCCAAAGAAAGTAATTTGAATATACACATTGTATATGATATTGTTAGACGTCTTTGTGAAATAATCAAAAGTACATGACATGTTGGAGCCTTCTAGAACGTATCTTCCGATTCCCATGAATGGCAATGTAGAACTTGAGACACACAATATCCATATGAATGTTAATAGTAAATAAGTGACGGACTTATCAATTGAATAAGACGTCGGTAAGTTTTTTCTTATAACTAAACAACGATCTAAAGCCAATGCTGCCAGCGACCATATTGAAACAAAGCCAGTTAAAGCAGCAATAAATGCGTCTATGTTACATACTGGAATAGAGATAGATGTTTTTGTTTAAAAAGTACATGTTGAACCATTATACTAACCTCTAAAATTCGAACAAAACGTAATTTGACATGCTGCAACGTGCATGATATAATTATTATCAAGAAAATGAAATCTGATACCTATGCCAACAAACATACAAATAGTTTTATAAAATGGTACACTCATACAATTGTTCATAAATCTTATCCCAACTCATGCTGATTATTAAAATATTAAGAAAACTGAAGAAACAAATTGATTAAGGTTGATTATAATTAAAAAATGAATTGAAATATAATTTTAAAAAACGAAACAATAGTGTTCAATTTATTTACGAAGCGGTTATAGTCTGTGTTGTTTGATTTGTTCGGGGTCTTCGTACTCCCTTGTTGATTTTCATACACATAATATGTTATATTGATTCACCAAATTATTTATGTATATTATTTATTATTTATGCTCAATGTAAACCACTATAGTATTATTAACCCGAGCCGCTAGGCAATATTATATTATTAATGATATTGCAATCAACCGTCTATACACAGCATTAAACATACAAGTATTTAAACATTTCTATAACGAATTTATAGTAGATCTACAGCAAAAAATGCTTTATTAGTGGAAAAACGAAAATTGTTTTGTTAAATGAGAGTGTGTGTAGTTTATGCTAATGGGGGTCCATCCTCCCGTAAGGGCACATAATGCAGCTTTTGCTGTCGAGTACGGACCTCACCAGTCATGTTTTTGAAGCACAAAGATGTGATAATTTACCTCTATGCAATTTCCACGGAGTATTAGGCAAATA